TCACGTGAGAGATAAGTGCCGCAAAGTGACACACTTAAACAATTAAGAGCTTTATATCAGGATTGCCAAGATATGTAAAAAGCACAACTTCCGAGGTCCAAAAGTACTTTTTACTATTCAAAAAACAATTTTAAACCGAAAAATGCACGCTTATTCACGGAGTAATGCCTGTTAATAGTGCATTACTGACGAGAAAACTTCGAGGGGGCTGGCCCCCTCATAGCCCCTTCTTGGCCCCCTTTCAAGAGGGGGCCAAGTGCTGGCAGGGTCTCCTAAATGCATAGTATATCAACGCACTGTTGCACCGAATGTGAGACTTCGTCTCCACTGGAAGGTGGAGGATGCGCACGGGCTTCGAACATGCAGCGCAAGGCTTGATAGAGGTTATGTTGCAAAGAGATCAGGCAAACCTGTGAAAAAATAAGGGCCAACCGAAGAGAACATGGAATATCTCGTACTAAGGAGTGCATGAATTCATGTGACTTTAGAATCGTAGTCGATTTTACTTGGCCTCGGCATATCCCGAAAAAGACCTAATCAGGCGACGAAGATACGTCCAACTGCGCCCATTAAACCCACTAGGTTAAAAAAACAGAAGTGGCACGTGCCCTTCTTTCTAGTTGGCCAACTATGTTTTGAACTGCATCTTGCATCTGTTATTTCCATTTCAATCAATTAGTGTTTCAGTAGACTGAACTTACGAGTATTTCTTGGTACTGCAGTTGCGCGCATGAGCGTTGGTGTCGTGGTTTGGTGTTATTCGTATGTGGATTGAGACACCGATAACTTCCCGAGCCTTGAGATGCTAGAGTGACTTTCATTTTTTGTGTTAATGTATCAATTTTCCACGTGTCTGTCGCTTCCGCTGAGGAGGCATTAGCACGTACTAATCTCCCGGATCGAACTGCATGAACATTTTTGTCTGTTTCGAGATAAAACCCACGTAAACGTTAAAGAAATCAGGCTCGGCGAAAATATTTTTCTACTGTTTATGTCTGAATGCTGTCAGCTCTTTTTCCCATAACTACTGTTCGTTGGCCGGTTTGCATTTCACCGCGTAACAATTGTTACGCGGTGAAATGAAAATGATAACGAACGGGCATTTAAATGCCTTAGGCAGAAAATTCACAGAAAGATATAATTTTTTGTGCATTTTCTGCCTAAGTTGTCAGGTATGATGAGTAACAGAATGACTGCGTAAGGTGTATTGTTAAAGCGTATTACCGGTCGGTATTGGCCTAATAGTAATTCCTATTAGTTATTATAATAGTATTAGCCGCAATATTGCAATTGCAATAATAAAAGTATAAAAATACAATGGTATGTATATCTGCGTACCATATGTAAATCCATCTGCCTTCCCCAATCGTATTTTATTTTATTACACAAGTATGTAGGTCCGCCAAGACGTAGAGGCCTCCCAGTTTTTTTATTCCTTTTATTAGAACTGCATTGCAAATGCGACGATAATTTGAGTACCAAGTGACTGCTGAATGCCGATTAACAGGTAACATGGTGGCGCACATGTAAGGTGGAATTTAAAGTACGAAGCAGGCACCGACATGCAGAATTTTAGTTATGAGTACGATAATATTTCCACAAAGAGTTTGCTTTCTGATATTCACGATTCTTCCACATGCGCAACTCAAAATCTCACCATCCCCCGCTTTGTATCTTTTGTTTGGCATCTATTTTCAGCAAACACATGCTGCTCCTCTTCCAAATCGACCATTCACTCTGACATAATCGTTCATACCTTATCTCATCTATCTCTGTCATTAGGCTCAAATAGAATAGCCTTCTATCCTTCCTTACACGCGTCAGATTTGAAATTAATCACATTGGCATTTTGAAACGCTATTTGATGGTGTTAAAACAGACCTTTTTAAAAATCGGTCGAGTCAGTATGTGTATAATTTTTAGCCCCAAGACCTCTGTTCTGACTATCGTACTAAATAAAAACTCCCTTCACATCACTTGACATTGAAATTTACCACACTGACTGCTTTGAAATACTGTCGATGCCTGACGCAAATTCAGGGTCATTGAATTCCGAATGGCGAGAATATGGTCAAAATGGCGAATTTGTGTACACAGAGACGAGAGAAGTCACAGGTGCTCCTCAGCCAATAAATTCAAGCGACTCGGATGTTACAGTACAGCCAGCAATTCTCGGAATTGAGTCGGAGCATCTGCGGCGATGTCCCGGTCTTTTCTTGCAAGGATAGCGAATTATCACTCACCATGAAATTGTAGTGGGTTGATGATGAATTAACGAAAAAATGTGTTTAGCATTTGATTATTCGAATGTAGCATAAAAATATTGGTAGAACTTAGATGGTTTCTGAAGTCCCATGCCGTTGTTGTCTTGTTATTATCGCGCAGATTCAAAAACCTCGGTGGAAACTATGCAGATGACGTCATGCTGTCCCTTGCTCGTTTTCTCAAGATTTTAATCACCGAACACCCGCATAGCCTCCTAGGTTGGCGTTTATTCTTCTGGGCTCGACATGATCCATGAGGTCGTCCTCATAGTTGTAGTAACAATTTTATCTTGAAGATAAGTAGATGGTGGTTAGTCCACACCACACGTTACCTTTGTCATAAGCGCTTTGCAGCGTTTTTGCCTAGTGGCGGATAAGTTTCCTGGCGGATGCAGCGAAGTGGGCGAAGGTGTATTTGCGTCATCGTCTGTGGTCGGGAGGGCAGAAGACGATGCAAGTAATGGGCGGATTGTGTTCTGCGCAAGTTTTCTGTGGTCGAAGTCCGTTCCACGAGGTAGAGTGGCAACTGGACAATTTAATCACTAATGGCTGGCGTAAGTTCAGCATTTTACCACACTCTCTTTTTTCGACTGTTCCAGAAGGTTTTACCTGTTCCTGTTTTGTTCTTTTGTGGAGAATCAAGTCACGACGAGGACAGCAATGTCGGTGTTGTACCTGCCAAGTTTGTGAGCAATTCCAATAGATTATTGAGTTATCTTGAAAAGGACGAACGCTTCTGGTAGCTGGACTGAGTGGAATCACTTTGGCGAGAGAGGGGGAGGGATTGGGGGAATACTTTTTTTCCGTCTGTTCTTCCGATTGTGTGCGTTACGTCCAGTAGCCACGGCCAAGCGTCAAAATGGCGGAAAACCACTTTTTGGTGCACGTTTTCGAGCTTTTTCTCTGGTTTGGGCGACTGATGAAGTTTGCTGCTACCCACTACAAGATATGGCGAGGCAACCAGTATATTCCTTCGTTGCTATCCGGCATTTCGTGTTTCTCTTTTCGCACATTTTTTTTTGATGGTAAGATGAGATAAGAGTTGTCGTTTGGAGGGACTGAGCGAGAAGGACGACTTGCGCTCTAAGTTATAGCGCAGTAGCACTGGCCTCATTCTCCTCACAGGCTCATCGTGATGCGGTGGCAAGACTACATCTGAACGACTGACAATGAAACTGGGCGTAAACTTCTCATACGCGCTCAACAACGCGGCCCCTTCACCGTCGGTCACCGCGCAAGGCACAGTTTCGTGGAGCCATGGCGAGAGTTCGATGCGAGTTAGTGACCGAGCGTGGTAACCACCGTGTGCATTAAGGCCTGGGGAATGAAATTTGGGTTCTGCAGTCTGTATGCTCTCCTTCGATTTTTCCGTACACTCCCGACATGATATATATATGTATATGAATATTATACAAGGATTTTAACATGTCGGTTCAAAAATTCGTGATTTCAAGGGCCCCGCACCTCCCCAAGTGGTGTAAGTACTCGTTCTCTTATCATCAGTGCTGCTGGACACAAAAGATACTCATTTAAAACAGCCAATGCAAGGGTTTTTAGAAGTACCTTCGACGTTTGTGCTATATGTTGACATGACGGCTTGCCTGGTAGATTTACCTGACGTCAGAGTCCCACCTGAGGGCTGTAGCAAGCATAAAACAAGGCCAGTCATCGGGAATACTTTCATTATTAAATATCACTCGGCATGGAATCAGCAGAACATCGCCCTCAACATTGCATAAGTGGTACTTTAAGGTAGGATTACTCATCGCCCAAACCACGCCAGTTCGAGGGATTATTCCTCTTGAAATAGCGGGTCATCCTGATCGCGTGTCGCCGCTTGTGCGCGAACACAATGCGTTCCTTTGCCTGTCAGAGCTAGCACGCTTCCATGCTACTGTCTGATTGCCATTAAGAGTGATCTTTTCCCTTTTTACTCAAAGACGAGCAAGAGTCCCTCATGTGACTCTAGGTTCTCACGTCTTTTTCTCTGACTGACCAGCTGACCCATCTATCGATTGTTCCAGCGAACGTCCTCAGCTTGTTACTTTGATTTTCGATCTTTATTCTGACTGCGCTGACTTGCACTATGACAGACCTTCATCAGGCATCAGAGATCGGGAACTGCTAGATATTATCTAACTCTCTCATATGTGTTAAGCTTCCTTGACTCAGCCTTATTTCGTTTATTACCCTCGAAAAAATTTGATAATCAGCTCATATTTCTCTGTTTTTTTCTGAAATAATGTACGAATTTCAGGCCATGCTATTTGATTTCAAAGCACCCGCACTTTTTGTTGAATACATTTTGTGAGGATCATTCTGTCTCAGCTTTCTAACCTGCTCGGCCTTAAACGACACTCGCCACTTGATTTTAATGTGACCGCTAGTCGCTTCTTTGCTGTTTTTTTAAAAAAAGAGATTGAATCATGCAATACGTCTTTTGTTGTGACGAACTTTATCACTGAACTGACGGCCTTACGTTGATGCTATTATACAGTTATAATTCAAATTACTGAGCATGTGGTATAGTAAAAGCGTCATATACTGACGACAGCCCCTTTAATTTCTTGAAAATTATCCTCAATAGTCAGATTTCTCAATTCCATGACATTCGGTTCTCGGCTATGATTCTAATGCTTGTTTGATTTTATTTCAGAATAACAAGATTACTTTCCAACGTTCTTCCCTCCAATGTGATTACCTCAAACGAAAATGGAGCGAAATCATTTAACTGATATGCTGCTCACGGAAATAATGACGAGGCGTTCGGTCCTGTCTGGTAGGGAGCCGTCCATTTTTTTTATCTGGGCATTATCATACTTTAGCTTTGCGAAGACTGCCTTATTTTCGTGTTTTCTGTGAGTTGTCTGTTTGAACTTTCGAGCAGAATCAACAAATTGTTCCACACTTTCTAACTGATTGTTTAAAATTGTTTTACCTTTCACACACTGTCGCAGTACGTATAATAGGCGGTTTGGTCTCGCCGATATGCATGGAGGAAGGGACGTGATCGTTCCATTTTCCCGACAGTCGCTTGCACAGAGACAAGCCCGCTGGCCCAGGTAGTGTGTCGTCTGAGCTAAGGTGCTCGATGACCAGCTGAACGCCGATTCAACTCTCGGGCCATCCAGTCTCCGGTGTGGTGGGATGACGAGGGCGGACAAATCAGAAACCGTTATATATTATACAGTAGGTGGACCAACTCATGAAATGTCAACCGAAATTCCGAAAGGCGTTTTCGTTTCGAAAAGCTTAATTAAGTAAGGTTGTAAAACTAGTCAGCCTACAACACAGTTCTATAAGAATTCATCTTCCTCAGGATGCCGGCTTTCGAATGAACTTCCTCCCGACTGCATGCAAGAACTATACTCTGTAAAAAATGACTGTTTAAGTGACATGAAGTTTTCTCATTGTCTGACGATGCCCCTAAAAGTCCAATTATATTTCATGGAAAACATGCATAAAAATATTCATTCTCTCGCTCATTTGGTAGACAATTACATCTTATTCCACTCTTAAACTCGAAGGAAGGGTATAATTCGGTTTTCAAAAACTTTTCCAATTCCCGAATAATTTTGAACCCGCTCAACCGTCACACTTGGATTCAGGGTTTCCAAACTACAAGCCGTATATTTTCCGCATACGGAAAACTACACATTTCTCTACGGTAATAAATGGGGACCATATAGGGCTCATAAAAGTTAACAGTGGATTTGATCCATATTGTTAACTTTACGAGCCACATTGGTAAATGCAGAGGCATGACGATTTATGAACGGCCATTTCACGGTATTTAAACGTCCCACAATTAGAAACTTTTAAAAACCTGATTATACCCTTCCTTCGAGTTTAAGAGTGGAATAAGATGTAATTGTCTACCAAATGAGCGAGAGAATGAATATTTTTATGCATTTTTTCCATGACATATTACTGATTTTTAAGGACATCGAAAATCAATGAGAAAAATTCATGCTACTTAAGCAGTCATTTTTACAGAATGTAGTTTTAGCATGCAGCCGGAAGGAAGTTCATTCGAAAGCCGGCATCCTGCGGTAGATGAATTATTATAGAATTATGTTGCAGGCTGACTAGTTTTACAGCCCTACTTAATTAATCTCTTCGAAACGAAAACGCATTTCGGAATTTCGGTTGACATTTCACGAGTTGGCCCGCCTACTGTGGATGCTGTCATGTATTGCTCTCTTTTCCTTGTTGGTGTTCCTTGGAAATCGTTGTTTGCTTCCCACTGTGCGTCCGCCTGTAAGGGTCGTAAATGTTAGTCCCCAAGCGAAACGGGACGAAAGCGTGTGGCGGCCGCGCCAGCTCCACTGGCTGATGCGTTGGCTGTTGTGGCTTATCACCCTCACGCACACACGCGCCTCAGACTCAGAGCCAATCACATGATCACCACCCGGCCAATCACTTGCTCATGCCGGTGAGTACATGTCAGACCCGCGTGGACAACACCCCAGTCCGCTACTCTCGCGCCTCCGAACGAATGTCTTATGCTGATCCACAGACGAACTGCCAACTCACGGTGGCCTACCTCCTGAGCAGAATAAGTCGGTTCTCGCTGTTCTCTGACCTCTGCCATTCGACGAGACGAACTTGTGGTCTATGTTGTTCTTATATCCTTTGACCACCACAAGTGTTCCCTCCTGCAATCAAATAGGTGAAGCACCACGTGCACGCTTCTTAATTCCCTCCCGAGTGCCAAGTCTGCCCTCGCGTAGCAGTCTGCTGACAAATATGTGTTCTTAACCCCCCCAATGCACAATCCATTTTCCCAACAGTGGCGCCCCTTGTTCGTCGCCGGTGCTTTGTTCTGTGCGAATAGCTGGGAGGATGCGAGCCGCAGTTATTTATTCAATGAAAAACATTCAATCCCCGTAACAGTTCTTACTTCGTTTTGACTTTCCGGGCCCGCCCTGGGGTCCGCAAACAGCAACAGTAACAACATGCAGCCGTCGTGGCTTCCAATAATTTCTCGACCACGTACAACCTTAACTGGTCAAACCGTATAACAGTAAACTCGCAGTGAGCGGTAAAAAGGGGGGCAGATTGATACGCCGGTTTGGGAGGTTTCTTTTCAGTCAACCATCACCCTGATTTTTTTTACTGATCCACGCCATTTTATGCCTGTCCGCGAAGTTGACTTAGTGTACAGTAAGTGACCTAACTCATGAAATGTTGGCTGAAATTCTGAAATGCATTTTCGATTAGGAAGGATTACTTGGTCGCGGTTGTAATACTGACTATCTTGCGGCATACTTTTGTAACATTTCGGACTGGACAGGATGTCGGCTTTTAAATGCACTTATTTTCAATCTCCTGTAGAAAGTGTACTCGGCAAAAAATGACTACTTAAGTAGCATGCATTTTTCCCATTGATTTTCGATGGTCTTGAAAATTCAAATACATTTTATAGAACCCATAAATAAAAATATGCTTTCTTTTAGTCAATCAATAGAGAATCAGCTCTTCTTTATATTTTATACTTAAGGAAGGAGTATAATTAGGTTTTAAAAAAGTTTCTAATTATGAGACCTTTTAAGACCGCGAAATGTCAATTCACATAGCATCGTACCTGGGCGTTTACGACTGCTTCTCATGAAATTAACAACATGATAGGCATCCATTGCAAAATTTTATGGACTCTGTATGCAATCTCTTTAATGGCATAGAAAAATATGTGATTTTCTTTACGCGGAACGCATCCACCTTGCAGACTGAAATTAAGCGCTAATTCAACGAATGATCAGGCTCCAAATTATTCGGAAATTGGAAAACTTTTTTGAAACCTAATTATACTCCTTCCTTAAGCATAAAATATAAAGAAGAGGTGATTCTCTATTGATTGACTAAAAGAAAGCATATTTTTATTTATGGGTTCTATAAAATATATTTGAATTTTCAAGACCATCGAAAATCAATGGGAAAAATGCATGCTACGCGTTGACACAAATTGACAGTGCGGGTGTGTGTGGGGGGGGGGTTGAGGTGGGTGACCTGCAGTTCCAAGCCCCTACGCCTGCACCCTGAACGCGGACTGCGAATTCGACCTCATGGGCATGATGGCATTAACCGACCCTATGACGGAACGAAAATTACCCGAAGCCCTGACTTTTCATAGGACCTCCATATAGATATGTCCGCTGTCTATGTCGCACTGCATGTGGTGCGGTTTCGTCCCCAGCCACGTGTGCATGCAGGCGACACGAGATGTATGACTAAAAAAGGCTTTTTCCTGATGATGGACTTGTCCTAAAACTCAGATGAATTCAACAGATGCTTCGGGGATTACCTTTTTTCCTTTTTCTGCATTTGATTTTGCATTTGAACTTGGCTTTGCTGCCTAGATTTTCTGGGATCTTGACACTGCTATGAATGAAAAGTCCTTTGCAGGTGTCCTGTCTGTGCCATTTTTCATAGTGGCGTCGTAGTACTCAACGCTTGTCCATCGAGTTTTATCAATGATAATCTGAACTGTCGGCCTTCATGAAATGAGGGGTATTTGTAATTTTGAGGATGACACAAGTCCCCTCTATAAATTACTGTATTATGTACTTCATTGAGTTAGCTCAAGGTTCCCCCCTACCCTCATTGAGAGCCGCAGGTTGTTTCGTTAACGAAAATTTCCTTCGATTTGGTTCCTCTCAGGCCCACATAGTCTGAATCATTCGAACTTACGATGCTTTGCCAAGGGTACATCAGCTTTCAAACTCGAGGTATTTGAACTTCTTTGTTGTCATCAGTAATCCCGACAAAGGTTTATGATGGTTCACCCGAATGCCCAGGGGAGACTTCGATTCCGGACTTTGGCGGAGTAGGCTACTAATATACAAGGCTTTAAAACGCAGTTGCGTCTCGATATGCACTGTTTGCTGGCTAGATTGACCTTTTCATGTGAAGCACCCTCTCCCTCAATCCTAATAACTCTTTCTTCCTCCCTCAGAGGACCCACAAACGTTCAACTCCTGCCCTCGTGACCAAGGTGCCTTCTGGTCAGATCTATTTTCCAGAGCTTTCCTGGAATACGATCAGTTTTCTACTTTCAATTTTTCGTCCGACGATGATCTGCTCTTTTTTGTTAACCAAAATGTTCGAAAAGAAGGCAAGGTTTGTGGTATGCTGTTCTCTTTTTCATACGTCTTTATCTCCTATGTGGTGCCATCGTAGCGGCGCGTTTTCCAAGTCCCAGCAACCCGTATTTCGATGTCATCTCACTCCTAATAAAGCTGATACCTTTTAAACGTTTGTAGGTAGATTGTTGTTTTTATATTTGGCCGTGCTATTATCCTGCCTGCGATTCGTTTTCTTTCTTTACTTAGAACATGAGAGCTGGCCATTTGCATGATATTTATGGGTAACCGTGTGTTCTTTGCCCCCATTCTGGACCCATTTGCCGCATAACCACGATTTTGAGGGAGCTAAAATTATTTTGTTGCCTAGAGTATCTGTACTTAGTTATTTCTCCTGCTCTTAAACGCGTCCTCCTAGTTTCCTCCACTTGGTGTAATCAAGAGACCCATTGCACATTTTCATGTACCGTACGTTACGATGCCCTTATGTCATTTATCCTAGCTGTCTATTTTGTTAACGAAACCACAAAAAAGTTAATCACAGCTCTAATTTACTGGATTCACCGGCCTTAGGAGGAATTTCTCCCACCAAAACTGCTATTTAAAAATTTAGGAGGCTAAATAAACGAGTAGGCATTCCGAATAAACCAGCACTTTACTTATACTGAAAGCCTTTTATTAAGTAGTTAGTTTTGTCTTATATTCAACCTCTTGCCCCCGCATTCAGCCACAACTGCAGGTCTTCAGACGGGGTAGTCCTAATCTGCCCGGACTGGCGGACCCCCGCATACACTGGGAACACACCGTCTACCTCAACCTCATTTTGCAATGCGTAAGCTGCCCTGACGCCATTTATCCTCACATCCCAAGGTGTATTTTGTCCGAAAAGTAATTTCACTTACAGTCTAACCAACTCTTCTGTGACGGTACATCCTAATTGAGCACAAAGCTGACGAGACGTGCCAGTGTAGATTCCTTGTCATTTAACATAATTTCCGAGAATTTGCATGAGCGCGCGATTGTCTCAACACCAACTTCCCCCTCCCATCCCCCCTAAATCGGGGGAGGAGGGCGTTGCAACAGCACACTGGGAAGGGCGTCCTACCTGCTCGCATACAATGCTTACTGCCTGTGCCAAGGTTCCCTTATTCACCATCACCACGCTTAAGCTTTGAATGAAGGCCATTTTTTGCTCCAACCCTCTCCCTTGTTGTATATGTATCCGACAGACCCCTGTCTCTGAGCCTTTCCGACCATCTGTCGCTCTTCCACGACTGGTGAGTCGGACAAACCACCGATCCGGGTTCGTCTTTCGGAAGCCTATACGAAATTGTAACGTTCTTCCTGCCACTGCGGTTGTAGCCGACCTTCGTTCGTTCGAACTGCATATTTATCATCATTAGCGTAAAGTGTGCAATATGCATCAGAGGAGAACGCCTGTTTGGTAAAAGCGAACTCACACTGCCTCCAAAGCGGCATCATTATGTCATATCAGTGCGCTACTTTCCGCATCATAGTAGCATTTATTGTCGCAACTTTTTTGTTAATTTTTAAGTGTCGTTCGCCTGCTCGATCTTCCAACTATACGGACATACACTGCATGGGCTAACTCATGAAATGTCAATCGAAATTCTGAAATGCGTTTTCGTTTCGAGAAGATTAACTAAGTAGGGTTGTAAAACTAGTCAGCCTGCAACATAATTCTATAATATTTCAGTTACCGCAGGATGCCGGCTTTCGAATGAATTTCCTTCCGGCTGCATGCAAAAACTGCGCTCTGTAAAAAATGACTACTTACATAGCATACATTTTTGTCATTGATTTTCGATGCCCTTAAATATTCAATTATATTTCATGGAAAACATGAATAAAAAATATTCATTCTTTTACTCATTCGGCAGAAAATTACGTCTTCTCCCAATTTTATGCTTGAAGGAAGGGCAGCATTCGGTTTTTAAAGACTTTTCCAATTCCCGAATAGTTTTGAACCCGCTTTACTGTCACATTTGGATTCAGGGTTTCCAAACTACAAGCTGTATATTTTCCGCGCGCGGAAAACCACACATTTCGCTACGGCATTTAGAAGTCCCACAATCAGAAACTTTTTTGAAGACGATTTATGTCCCTTCTTCGAGTATAAACTTGGAAGAAGACGTAATTTTCTACTGAATGGGCGAAGGAATGAATCTTTTCAAGCATGTTTTCCAAGAAATGTAATTGGCCTTTAGGGGCATCGAAAATCAACGAGAAAAATTCATGCAACTTAAGTAGTCAATTTTTACAGTGTAGTTTTTGCATGCAGCCTGAAAGGAGTTCATTCAAAAGCTGGCATTCTGACGTAACTGAAACATTACATTTTGCGCTGACATGTGTAGTTTTAATGAATCCAAAATCAATACTGTCGGCTCCCCGGTCAGCCAGCCTACTGGGCGCTTATAGCGTAACGATTTCAAATGCCCGTGGCTTAGACGCCTCCAGTACCACGTTTCGTCCTCGGCAAACTTATAATGACCCGGTAGAATCATATCATGTAGCACCAGTTAAATTCAGAAGAAAGCTTGATCACGACTCCAAGGACGACGCCGGCCACTGTTTTCATTCTGCCCGCTCATGAGTCTGATTTTATCCCATCTATTTGTTTCTGCTCGCCACCGGCACAGTGGTGCCAGTGTGTACTGGGATTGGGAACCGACTGGATTTGGACCGACTGATCTCTTACTGGACCGCTGGGTTGGGTGACATCCTCGCCAAGGGCAACCGATTAATGATGACGTTTCACGTTCGGAACCTCCGTCAGCCAATGCCATGGTACCCTGCAGATATACCAGTTGTAAGACGCCGGGAATTAACACAGTCGGACTGTGCATATAGGGTCCGTTTTACAGCAGTATAGTAGAATGGTTTTAAGTGCATCCTCGCATATTGTGATCCCTGCCATCTGACGAGTCAGGAGGTGGGACCTCGCGATCTCTGGGAGCCGAGTGCGTGTATTAATTACTAATTGTGCACGGCTCCCTCCGTTCGGCATTACCTTGTCGGCAAAACAGAGAACCGCAGTAGACGAAACAGGCGATCTGTTTGAGGTTCTTGCCACCGAGGAGAAATGTAGCACTTCTTTCTATTCAAACCTTTTGGGCTTTACTTTCGGGTTCGCAACCTCCAATTTTGCTGGAAAAATTCGGCACCGTGACTATGTAGTCGAAAGCAGATGACGTTTCACCGGTACTTTCAAGTGGGAACGCACCACCGAAGGTAAGGAATTCTGCCCTAGTTGAACGCCGTCATAACCAGGGAGTTTGTCCCAAGAATCGCCTTCCCCTCAAAAATGTGAAAAGTACTGGAAGAAGGCACGAATTTGTCGAACCCCACTTCTGACCCAGTAGTATTCCCTAACCTCACCTTGTGTCTAAGCTTTGGTTTTCATACACTGCCATCATGCTTGGGTGGAATTCAGAATTCAGCCTCTAGCCATTCCCAAAAGACGCTTGCACTACATCGGTCGGACACATGATTGTGGATCCCCCTCGTGCTAAATTCCTATTTATGTGTCCGAACTTTGACCTTAACCCCAACATTTGTCCTAATCCTCCCAGCCCCAACTTTAGTCCGAAAATCTAACGCTAACCCTCTTAAACCCAACCCTAACCATTACCCGCCTCCTCCCCCCCGAAATTTGGGGCAAGGCCACCTGTAGTAGTGGAGGAGGTCCAAACTCCCGTGCCCAGCCCACCCAATCGATCGAACTCTACGCGGAAGTTAACCGTGCCATCATCTGTCAAAATTGCATTGCTTGTTTAGGGTCGGTCAGCAGGTTAGTATTTGACTGAGTGCCTGTTGTTGCAACGGCAGTGCTCTCGCACCATTCTTCCGTCCACTGGACGGCCAGAAATAAAAGTACCTCCAATATTAGTTTGCTCGAAACGAACTCGCTTCCAGCGACTGTCTTAAACCAATGCATCGGATATGTATCCACAGTCAGACTCTCTGCCTTATCCATTCCCCCCGTCTTCTAAGATATCACTGAATTCAGGGCAACATTTCTGTTTTCTCTTACTGTGATTCTTGCTGTATTTTAGTTTGTTTACGTGCTTACTGTTGGGGTCTGCACCAGATCCGGAGCCAAAGAGATTGAAATTCTTCGAAAATGTTCACACGTAAGTGAGATGCTTGACTTCGTCGCGCTCATCTGCGACTTTTTTATATTCAGTTTTATACTCTAAAATATTCTACAGGCATTAAAGTTCCTCTGCACCTATTAGGGATTCGGTGCCGACTGACATCTTCTTTTCTGTCCCGATGTTGCGTTTTCTAAACAGCCCCTACCGTTCTTTGGCTGCTGCGTAATATTCCTGCCCTGTCATCGGGGACTTCTAAGGCCATGGGGGCGCTAGCTAATTAAAGCGTTAAAGAAGTCTTAGGGGTTATTCTTAGGGACTCCTTCGTTTATTACATCAACATGGTTACGCACGAAGTGCATAGTTCGTTTGTTGTGAGAAGGCGATCGCCGGTTTACCAGAAGAGTCGCGTGAGGTGGGGGAGTCAATCCGCGAGGTTTTATTGTCCGCGAGCTCGAGTCTGGAATTCGGACATCAGACAGGCAGCAGGCATCCACTTTGTACTGATGGAGACTGCGCGCTGTCAGACCTTTAATATAAAAATCCAGGAACTCTGGCAGATCCAAGCACTCTATACTTACTTGTACTTGATGCGGCTGCAATCATACCCGATCTAGCCGGTCTCGATGATGCCACGAACTGTACCTCTCCACGCGTGACGATCCGCGGCAGCAGGTCTGGACAGCTCAACCCATTCCCTTCTCCAGCGACGGAGACCGAATACCGAAGGTCCAATAACCACCCCCATGTCTTGACGACTGTGTCGAGACAGGTTTTGAACTGACCCCCTCTTCGATGCCTCCAGTGGGGCAACGGTGTTGGATCGAGGGCAGTAACACTGAGCTCCTGGGGTGGACGACGAAGAACATACCCGAAACACCTCATCCGTCTTTCTTGGATGGCCAGAGTTATCCATGCGATGTTGTCGCAGCGAGCGCGGACCGTCTCATCTGAGACGAAGTCGGTGAACTTCACTCAAAGGATGGTCCTCAAGCAGTGGTGGTCAAATACCTCCAGTTTTCGCTCGTCCTCCACGCGCAAAGCCCAGCACTCACAACCGTAGAGAAGGACAGACCGGACAGACGCACGGTACACGCGAATCTTAGTGGCGATGGAGAGGTCACGTAGGCATTTCCGAAGGCTTGAGAAAACCCAGCGGTCAGCAAGCATTCTATACCGGGGGTCTGTTCTTGATTGAGCACCTCAGATCGCATGTCGTTCGCCCGCATCACTGAACCGGAATTACGGAGCGCCTCGATTCATGTGGAGGCTATAGGGTGCACCGTAATGCTTGAATTGTACACTTTCTCATGTGGTTTCTTTGGAATTGTGAGTACAGGCAGGTCACAAACAGTGGCTGCAATTGTTCAAGCTCAAGAACCTAACTCCAAGGCAACAATGACAAGCAAACTTACTTAATGACAGTTCGCGTTCACCTCATCGCATTAACGTCGCCGGGCTTTAACGGTTTTCCATAAGGCATTCGGCGTGCCAGACTTCCGCTCTACGTGTCCTGGTAACCCTGCCACTGCTGGTCCGCGACTGATAATTCGTCAGGCTTGATAGTCTGCAGCTAATTTTCAGCCAATTTTAGATGTTGACCGTTCCACTGTCCGCCATCCGCGAACTTGCCGGGTAGCCAGCACTTAGGCTAGTGGGCTCTTCCCGCCGGCACTGGCGACTCGGCGTTGGACGGGTTATATCCGGCCGGCCGACCAGCCAGTAGTTACGCCTATGTGTGGTAGGACCGCCTTGTGGATACTGCAACGCCGTGTTTTTGTTGATCATCCCTCCCTTCTGCCGACTGTGGATTCAGGTACGAACTCTAATAGTCCGAGTGAAGTAACCATTCCAGCGATTGACCTGACTTCTTCTGAATAATTATCCAGAACCCATTCCTTCGTAGTCTTTGGCACTACCGATGGCGCCTTGCGAAATGCTGTAATCCAGGGCCCAAGATTATTTTGTCTTTCCGTCCGTGCTTTCACCTGATGGGAATCTAGTTCCACCTTCTCCTTTGCAGGTTGTTTATGCGTCACCCAGCTCTCGTCAGATGGAGTCAAAGGGAACTGAGGAAAGGATTGTCTATCCTCACGTGGTTTTCCACGTGGATAACTTCGAAGAGGTGGGTTTCTTCTCGTCGCAGCGGTTTTCTCAGTGACATTTAGGCCCAGATGCCTATGCTTTGCTGGGCAACGATCGAATATGGGGGCCTTCACTTTTTATTGCTATAGCATGCCTGCTTATGCAACTTAGGTAGGCATGCTATGATAGTGCTACGTTCCTGACTGGGTCTAAAAATCTACGGTTAGGGTTAGGGTTAGGCCAAAGATTAGGGTTTGGGTCAGAGCTAAGTTTGTCCGCTGCATACCGTCTTACCCAGCCCGACCTTTAGCCAGTAACCTTACATTACCTGTTTTCTGTCCCTAAGTCACATATTTCGAATTGCGCGATCTGTTCCGGTACGTCGTTGAGGTAATAAAAGAACATATGGTAGAAGTTGAGAGGTTTCTCGATCCCTTCTCTAGATTCCGTTAATTACCACGTGCATCATCCGTACTGCTAAAACAATATCAGCAACCTTGTCGTATTACATGATCCCTGGGCCTTATTTTCTCAGTAGGCTCACATATCCCATCCTCGCCTTTTACTGTTTGCCAACCCGCCATGGCTTACTCTTCTGTTTCTCTTCGCTTCAAGGTGTTTTCTGACTGCGTTCTCCGGGATAGTGAATGCCTTTGCATGGAAGTTACCGCCTACAATCGCCTCGGGGTCCTTCAAGGCGTCCTCTTCGAGGCCGTTATCCGCTACTCCGCTCTAAAAACTGCCCACGACCTCCAGGTTTATCGATGTTCACTGTGCGTTGTGCGGTCGTCTATTTTGTTCCCCCGTCATTATTGTTGTCCGCATTTCCTATAAGGCTGAGGGAATTTTACTTCTCGGTGCCGTTGTCGTCGGATTTTGTTGGGCCCCTTATCTCCTAACCTTCCCCCCCCCCCACACACAGGACGGCGCTTTCTCGGTTTGTGAACCAACGCATGGCCGCACGTGCCCTCTATTTTGTCCAGTGTCCGGATTGCAGACTGCACTTCTATCCTGTTTTAGTTGTATTTAAGGTGTTCTGTTTACTTATCTGAACAGTGTCACTTCTCATCTCTGCCTTTCACTTATAGATCAACAGTGAGCCTTTGACTCATCGGCGTTCCGGTAGCAACAGTAATTTGCAAGTGCTGGGACGTCGGCCGAGGCCGCCGGACAAAATCCTCGACTCTTCGGGCAGTTCCCAACCGAGGACTTTCCTTCGCATCTTAGCCGCCCGTTCCGAGGCTTTCGCTGAGGTAGCTGTCCACTTTGTTAGCGGCGCTGAGCCTCCGTCGCTGGGATTTAGCGCGCGTCCAGGAATCGCCAGACCGGTTACCGCGGTTGGGTCAACGACGAGGAACTCCCATCCGCATGTCGGAGCTGAAAATGCGGTAAGTGGTTAGAAGTGTGGTTGTGTACTTACCTTACCATTGTCTTTGTCGGTAACGCGTATTGATTGCTCCCTGTTTCGCGACCTTCCGTCAAGGCTCTAGCCCATAGGTTCAAGGCAGGACAAAATCGTCTGTATCTCTTCCTTCAATCGCAATATATATATAGCAGGTAACCAAGCTCGGGAAAATCTGGCTGAAATGTTAAAATCTCGTCTCAGTGAGATAGAATTACTTAAATAAGGCTGGAATTTTTTCTAGCATACAGTGCAATCCCAGGGTATTTCATATACGCCAGGAAGTTGACACTTCAATGATCTTCTTTCCGACCACCCGAAAGCATCCTCGCCAAAAGGGACAACTTAAGTACTATGATTTTTCCCTGCAATTGTCTATGCCTTTATAAGTCTAGACAGCTAAACATTCCTTTTGTAGCTACGCCTCATGTCTTCGGGGTTTGACAACGTTCACTGATTCCCGCTGCCTACTTAATGTTGCGGGAGATTAAAATCATACTGTCTGCTTTAAAATCAACATTAATAAACGCGCGCGTACGGCGTCGCCCGAGTAGGTATTTAAAGTTCTCGAAATGTATCCTAATTGCGGTGTTTTTTTTTTTAAAGAAAACGTCATTTCCTACAAAAAAGCGTATTAGGAGATGCTTTTGTACACTCTTTAAAAATATGTCTTAAAGCCATTGAAAAGCACTGGAAACAATGTAGGCTTCTTACGTAGCCATGTTTTAGAGAGTGTGATTTTTGCAGGTGGCCTGAAATACGTGCATTCAAAAATCGGCTCACTGACGCGTGTTAACCACCTTAAGATGCGTGTCGCAAACCGATCAGTATTGCAATCCGACTTAGGGAATTCTTTCTGACCAACTTCATATTTTGGAGTTTCAGGTAATGCCTCATTAGTCTGATAACGCTACTCCCCCACATGACTTTGAAGATTCCCAATCGCGGCCTCCAGTTCCTCAAGCGTGTGCAGGGGTTCCGCCCCTGCCACGCACTCCGCGCTTGATCCTGCAGGAGCTTGGTTTTCCAATAGATGAAATACGCACACCTTCAGCCCGAGGACAGTCAATTACAGGTGTTCACAAACCCAAGATTTACCCGAGCAGCTGAACAAGCTGGCACTAATTGGCTGTCACGCGAGACGACGGTTCGGCCGTCGCGAATGACGATGTCCACTGTGTGCTACCACAGCATGGTGGTCGCAGGGCGGTGACTTGCGCGTGAATTTGTTTATACTGGTGGTGGACTTGCACAGCATCTGTCACACTCTCTTTTCTCACCCGCCCGGGCCCGGTGCCGAGACAGAGGAGGCGGACATGAGCGTCGTGGCTGACAAAATTAAACGGCCCATCTATACGTACCACATACGACCTCATACCCAACACATGTACCAGATTTTCACGATAAGAGATGGCTCTGATCCTATTTGTTTGGGATTTCCGTGGAGGCCACATTCGGAGGAAGCCACCGAGCCTGACTGTCCTTTCAAATAGGGCCGAGTTACTCAGTCAGTTGGCAGCCCTCCAAGCCACGACTTTTAACGCCTCATGGCTAGTCCCGAACGCATCAGCTTTGTTACAGTGAGGAGTGCACGGAAGTGCCCTGGAAATGGATTTTCCAGAATCGACCACTCTCCTTCTCTATTTCCTCTTTCATGCACCAGCCCCCTTTCCGGGTTTTTCAGCCGTCTGGTTTTGGTATTGGGCGAAGTGGATGGTGTGGCAGGAAGTCTACGCCTAGGCGGGGCACTACAACCCCCCCCCCTCCCCCCTTTGTGGGATGCGCGAATTCTGCGCAGCCCGACCAACTTTTGCCATGCTCCAATTTGGCCCTATTTTGATCCAGCGCATCTGCAGGGCTCACTCGAGACACAGGCCCAGTCACCCGCGCCCCATGGTCCTTGCGGAGAGGCGCGTGCACGGACTGGTCGGCCGCGCGTCAAGGGTTCTGACACCCGTACAGGAAGTACGCCTCCCGCCAGTGTGTTTTCCCCCTCTCCCAAAAAACTGGTCTGGGGCCTGAAGTTGTGGTCAGAGTATATCCCTCACCCAAGCCGATAGGACCCGAGTCCCCCGGCTCACTGGTAGAGCGCCTGGCCTAATGCCCAAGGACCAACCAGTGCGGTCGAACACCAACTCTTCCTGGCCTAGGATTGGGATCTGGTTGGCTGCCGTTAGCAGATAAGCCGCAACCGGTCACCCCCCGACTTAGACTCTGGCCCTTCTTTCTCGCTTACTTTGTTGTTTCATCTCCTCCCTGTGGAATTTGCCCGCATCATGTGGTCATCGCCTTTTGGGAGCTCGAGTGCCTCCTCCATCAAGGTTTTTAATTGCACTTTGCCCATGCATAGCCGTTACTGAGTTGGAGATTTTCTATAACTACGAATATAACCACGGGAATAGTACAAGGAGACCTCGTCCGTAGATATGCCGTCTAGCAAGCGACTCTTTGTTTACCTCCGAGGCCTTCATGTTGGCATGCCGAATAGGGATCAGACCTCATTGCAGGATGCAATAGCAACTCGTGGCCGCGCGGCGACGAACAATCAGCGGCCTAAAAGCGTTACTGAAGGAGGCAAGTGAGGCCAGAATGATCATTTATGGCTTATTTCCCGTCACCAACCAACCACTCCAAAATCACAGGTTGACAGAACCCAGTCAGCTGACGACGGCAACTGGGCCAGAATCCCCCAGTCTAGCCGTCATCGGCTTTTTCGGCACTGTAGTGGTTAAGGATGTAAGATCAACTTAAACTACATACAATAATTTTGCTCCGACTAGTAACAGAAGTCAGGAAGTTGTGAGGACAGGTTTATTCTATACACAGGGCAGGTCGCCGTAAGTTGGCTGCATGCTTGTGACAGAGATAAGCGTCCCTTCTGGAGAGCGTCAGTTGCGGTGCCTTCTGTGTGTCGCTACCACCAAAAAAGGTTGTTGCCACCCATTGATCTAATGTGCGCACTTGTAACCGATCAGCGAAAGAGGTTGCGTTGATTGGCTTCGAGAGCGCGCGAGAGTAGTGGCAAACGATCGACCGGACGTGTGGTGTGGACGGGATTGCAGCGAGACAGATCGAGGGTAAGCCTGCGCAGCCGTGGAGCGTATACAGTCGGACGAGGGGGCAGAGAAAAGGCTGCTACAGTACCACCACCCCCCCCTCCCAGGCATTTCAGCCTGCCAAAGCCACTTGCCGATATGTTTTAAGCTTTGTTGGTCTGATTGCGTTTTCTAACGCACTGAAGATTCTCAATCAAGGCGAATATTTCTGGTCACAGGGAACAAAATGTGGACCCATTGCTGAGTTTTTCGATTTTTCGCATGTTGACAACTGTCTAGAGTTAGACTGTTGCAGACTGACTCGTGAGCTCCTTGTAGTGAACAGCGGAGCTAGACGGTGTGCTGGCAAAAGCCAGTATACGAGTTCCGGTTTACAACAACTGTCCAGTATTGGGTGAGTTGTTCGTCAAGTTTGCATCCGGTCGCCTGCCCTGTTTCATGCTTTTATTGACTTAATTTTTTGCGGAACTCCGCACGATTTTGACTACGGTGGATTTACACTAGAGCACCGCCTGGTTGAACTTGTTTACGTGCATGATATCGTTCTGCAGCTACCATGCTTAATGATGAACCGAATGCAATCTCTGGTGAACGAAGTCGCCAAGTCAATTCGTTTGGCAGCAAGGGCTTCAAGAGCAAAGTATTGTGGAGCTACGTCTCGTTCCAGGAGAAGGCACGCGTCGTGATTACGGGCTTGCAGCTTCAAGACGTAGACAATTTCAAAGTATGCGGGTTGAGTAATCGCCGAACTAAGAATGAGGAGTACATCATTAGTCAAGCAAATGTCACTCACGGGGATTTGATGGTGTTTACGCACCCGTCATGATATCTCACTGTCCACCAACTCCCGCATGTACCGGTTATCCGTCTGGTCAGTCGTCGTTTATGATTGGGAATGTTAGGCTATCTGCATGGGAAACCGGCAATCGTCCCAGACCCGATAGACAGCGTGTGTCAACTTTCTCCTGGCAGTGGTTATTTGGGTCTCTTTACTTGGCCCCGAAGTGATACGTCGAGTCTGTGGGCAATGCCGACTTAGTGCGATTTTACAACTTTCCTTGCGACTTCCGTGACACTTTTGACACACAAGATCGTTAATTGAACTCATTTTCATCGTCTTCCTGAACTGCCTATACGCCTTGACTCAGCACATTCTTTTCCGGAGACTAGGTTGTCAAGAAGTGCTGGCTGAGCATCATTTCTCTGGAGATTTGTCTGTCCGAAACGATGGACTCTTAGCTCTAAACTGTCTGCAAGCCCTATGCATATAATTAACTGTTAACGTACCTTCATGTGGTTTTAAACTGCATTGCAACCGAAGTTGTGTTAGTCGCATATTCGTGACAAAAGCTGAAAAACATAAACAGGACATATGCTTCAGTTTTTTTCAGTTTCAGTTTATTAAGGGGAATATAGGCGAGCGCCTTTGAACTCCTTATTGGTTGCAAGTCGTCGGAGAAAACAATTGATAAGTGGGAAGGTGAAAAGGAATGTTGTACATACGCGCGGACAGCTGACAGCCAGTCGAAAAAGATTAATCAATAACGGTTACTTACTAATTACAAATAGTATAAGCACGTATAAGTTGTGTCGGCTATGTGAGTGGATGTGAGGCTGGTAATTGGGAAGCTTGATATGCGTCAAGTCTACACTTAAAGGAATTTACACAGGAGGAGATTCCAACATCGGTAGGCAGGGCATTCCACGCTGCAACCACTATGTTACCGAAAAAGGACTTTCGTCCACTGCTCCTTGCTTTCCCTGCGCGTAGTTTTAGGGGATGACCGCGCAAAGTGGGCGTGTTAGCTTGAGTGAAATAATCAGTGGGATCCAAACAACAGTCCATGCTGTTGATAATGTGAAATGTTAGTATAAGGTCACCACGTAATTGCCTGTAGGAAAAGGGAAACAGGTTGAGGGTTGACAGTCTGACTTCATACGGCAGTGCTCCCAAACCTTGTGTCATTTTGGTCGCCCGTCTCTGGACCTTCTCCAAGACGGTATAGTCCTTGGCAGTCCAAGGCCTTCACGCCTGTATGGCGTATCCTAGATGAGGCCGCACGTAGGTGCCCAATATTTTGGAAAAACCTCCAGGGTCAAATCTCTTAAAGGCTCGCCTAAGGAGTTGCAATGTAGCCGTAGCAGATTTAGCCGCCTTCGCGCAGTGCAGTGTTGCTTTGAATGAAGATGTAATCCATACTCCCAGGTTCTTCTGACTGTCAGCCTGTTGCAGTGGTATGCTGTGTAGAAAGTAAGTCCTGGGGCTGGAGGCTCTGAGGCTGCCCAGTTGTGTTATTACAAGTTTATTCTACCTCACTGCACCGTTGATTGTCTTAAGTCGGAATCCGGGAAGACAGGGGTGAGAGGGTGGTCTGCATTTTTGACGGATAAAGAGGTCCACTGGCCCTGTCGCCGATGTGGCAGCGCCTGGGACCAAACGAGCACGTCGGTTATATATCGACAGTGACACCGACGCGTCACTCAGCGAGACAGCATAGCAGCTGATGGCAGGCGCCTGAGTGTGAAAAGGGGATCAACATCGATGAACCTGGTTGATAAGTTAGTAATCGCCAAAGTCTGTCGGTCTGGTCGCGCACTTATGTCGATTTCTCCCAAAGATGCGCACAAGGTGCCAATGCGAGATTCACTTTGACCCATCTGTGAAGAACTCGGTGGGATTCGAACCCACGACAGCAAGGGAGGGCTTTAGTACAGCCAACGCTCTAACCATCTGAGCTAAGAGGCCCCACCGGACGATGCGATTTTAATCTTATTTGCGAGATTCAACGCGATTCTCTAGTTAAACAAGTAAGAAACCAACAGTCCGTCATTAGTCATCTCTAGCAGAGAAACCAGTAGTACTGACTTATGTGGCCCTCTAAACAGGACTTGGGGATAGGAACGCTCCGCCCAAGTAATAAAGGTGGGCCGGCACATAATTCTGGAAAGGGGAAAAATATTCCCGTGTCCTGACCCCAACAATAACCCTGGTATAAAACTAAGCCGTCGTCCTAATCTTGACCCTAACTGTACCCTAAACTTTCGCTCTGCAGTTAACACTAGCCCCTACTCTAAACTTGATTCTGGCTTACCTTACTGTTAATATTAATTCTAGCCTTAAACCTAATCCTTCACCTAACCCTAGCCTTAAATCTAACCCTAATTTCACCGGAAATGGGCTCAAAGCCGTCCTTATTTCAGGCGGTCCCTATTCCCATGTCCTGTTTAGAGGGCTATATGAGTCAGCCCTCTCGAAAAATCTGTCAATGTACTTAATTACACAGGACTCGAAAGCGAAGCAGCCTGTGAGGCACGTGGACAATTTATGAAGAACGTTGGGGATATTCAGAAAACTGTAATGAAAATGAAAGGGTCCTGTTGTTAAGAAAACCTCACTCACTGCTTCTCTACCGTGACTCCGTACAAGTGGGCCGGCTGCTTAGTTGGCCCAAAAGGTGTTTGCTCATTGTTGTCGGAGTCGACTGTATCAGTCATTCAACCGTCTACGCAACACATTCCGCTGAGATTCTAACCAGAGACACTCCCGCTGGAAGCACCTTCATTTCCTTGCGTTTTCTTGCACCTTTCTCCTCAGTCCCTGCACTCTCGGCGGTGGACTGCGGACTGCCAAAGTCAGTGCCCTCCACCACGACGTCCAACTGGCCGCACAGCCTCCGCCGAACCTGATAAACATCGCTCCTCCAGTGTAACCAACAGCCCCATGCACAGCGTCCTCGAGGACAGGACAGAGGTACGAAAGAAGGCTCGAGTCTTCCTCTCTCGATCTACCTCCCCGGAGCAGTCACCAGAGCGCCTTCGGGACAACAAAGACAATGCAGTCGTAGCACCCACCTCGCGCGTAGGCAAACTTATTTCTGGTCTGGCTGGGTTTACTACCTCGCCAAGCCGAAGGGCACGATCCTACACCACCAGACCGAGGGGACGAGGAGGAGGGGGCGGTTTGTCCCAGTTGGGTCGAAAAACACGCTCGGCTGGTGGAGAACTGGACCATCTGTCTGAGCGCTTTGGGTGTGTCACCAAGACGTGTAGGGACGTGGAGGCGACTACGTTCGAGGACGGTGAGTTCCTCAGATATCTGAAATCCCCATTTTTAAACGCTTGTTAATGCCTGATTGGCCAGTACCGGTGTTGTTTTACTAGTGAAGAAGGCCATTTCTTTGCCTTCAGTTGGGACTGACGTTTTTACCAATTCATCGGACGTCATATATAGTGCATGACCGATCTCATGAAATGTTAGCCAAAATTCTGGAATCCGTCTCCGACTAGAGAGGATTACGTAAGTGGGGTCTTTATACTGACTATCATGCAGCATAACCCTCTAACATTTCGGCCTCGCCAGGATGTCGGCTTTTGAATGGACTTCTTTTTGACCTCCTGCGGAAACCACACTCGGTAAAAAAATAACTACTTAAGTAGCATGCATTTGTCCTATTTATTTTCGGTGGTCTTATAAATTCAAGTACATTTTACAGAAAACATGCACAAAATATGCTTTCTTTTGCTCATTTGGTAGGAAATCACACTGTCTTCATATTTTATACCCGAAGAAAGTGTGTATTCAGGTTTTAAAACAGTTTCCAATTATGAGATTTTTAAGACCGTGTCATATTAATGCATGCAAGACCGCACACGTCCGTTTACTTATTCTCCTCATGAAATGTACAACACAGTCCAGATCCATTGCAAAATTTCACGAACTCTATGTAATATCTTCTTAAAGACATAGAGGGATATATGATTTTCCTTACGCGGAAAGCATGCACCTAATTGCTAAATAGATCAGACTGAAAATTATTTAGGAATCGGGAAACTTTTTCAAAACCTAAACACACACTTTCTTCGGGCATAAAATCTGAAGATAATGTGATTTCCTACCAAATGGGCAAAAGAAAGCCTATTTTGTGCCTGTCTTCTGTAAAATATGTTTGAATTTATAAGACGACCGAAAATTAATAGGACAAGTGCATGCTACTTAAGTAGTCATGTTTCACCGAATTTGGTTTCTACAGAAGGTCAAAAAGAAGTACATTCAAAAGCCGACATCCTGGCGAGGCCGAAATGTTAGAGGGTTATGCTGCATTATAATCAGTATAACAACCTCACTTAAGTAATCCTTCCCAATCGGAAACGCCTTCCAGAATTTTGACTAACATTTCGTGAAATCGGTCACGCACCGTAACTGAGTAGCCGTAAACGATGGACCCTGCGGTTCGCGAACGAGACGCCTGGCGGTAATGGCTGAAGTAGACTGCCTCATGAAGTTACACTTTCTTCCTGCATACATGGGAATGAGTGCTGATGCCCGACGAAGAAGACTATTTTTCGCTGATGATACCAACTGACCAATAATTCTCCGACTCCAAAACTCGAAACACAAATGGAGTGTTATTTAAGTCAGAAGGCAACTGGATGAACCGATTATAAGTGCCCTCCAAAAGGTGGCTGCTTCAACTAGTTCTTTTCTTGCTGGTAATCCAAGACGCGCACTGTCCCTTGAAACATACAGTACGGAACCTAGCACATAAAATATGCCTAGATTTGCGGAAAATCCCTAATTTCCTGGCAACCGTCCCTAGTATATCGACTAAAAATCTCGACTAATAATACGCAACTTTAAGTAGAGTGAAAACACAAAAGATACACTAAAGGTAAATTGCGTTGTTCAGAAATAACAACTTTTTAGAAAGGCGGAAATGCCGGAAGCGCCCAAGATTGCGTCAAATGAGTAAGCGTACGTTTTAGAAGTGCATTAGGCCAATTTATTAAAATAGCTGAGTAAATAAAACAGCAGAAGTAGCGTGACGTTTAAAAATAGTTCTTAGGCACTTAAATATCTTTCCAGTATGACCGTTAGTCAACAGCCTGCAGTCTAAGTATAGATTCCTAAAGGGTTTCAAAAGAATTGGCTGTACTTTTTTCGTTTGTGTATTGTTTTTAAGATGGGTTTGACTAAGACAAACAGGAATTCGCTTGATTTCCCCGATAGGGGCGTTACAGGAATAAAAGTTTTCATGAGGGTGCATGGTTACAGACCGGTCGGTAACTAATAAGTTTAGATATAATTAGCACATATAATCATAAGCATACCCCTTTGTGTGTATCAAGAGGACTTGTCTTCTGTAAAATTTCCATGTCTTCCTTAGTGACGGTGGAGCCCATCGAGTTCAAGAGTGTCCTTAAAATGTTGGTAAATACTTCACAGTCTTAAATGTTCTCAATTGCCTGCCCATAAGGATAGGTTCTGTGCTGTGTTTATAAAGGCCTTGTAACTGCGATATTTAGGAAAAGTGTTTACCGAAGTAGTGACTTCTGGAGCATTCGCCTTTATCCAGATGGCCATTTGGGTCATATTTTAGACTCATCCAAACATGAAACCTAATCGTCGAGGAAGGTGAGCGTTCACGACGAAAGCCGATGATGAATTAAGTAATTTTCTTCCATAAGTTACCTCTTTAAAAAGCGCTTCAGTTAAGCATATCGCTGCTGGATGTCCACGCACCTTCAAGGTTAATTCAGGCAAAATACCAGAACCTTTGGTTATGATCTAATGATATTCGCAAAGGTTTTGCTGCTGATGTCGACCTCAGTAGTTGTCACATCTTAATTGATTCTTTTCTGTCGGTGGAGGAATGCTAAAATTTCAATTTTCTATCAGTTTCTCAGTCGTTTTGTGAGCCGCACTTGATTACTTTTCTTTATCCTCCATGAGCCGTGTTATGCCTCCCCATATACGCTGTCCAAGTGCCAGCGATAGAAAACAACAGATCCGAATGGGGACGCACGACGATGGAGTGACAGAGGGTCTTGAAAGTTGGGTATGAGGGTCTCGTACGCGCTCCTAAGAGCGTTGGCACCAAAGGTGGGGCTGTGGCCTCCGATCTGGTCCACGAGCCAGAATATCTCTCTGATATCACGATAATCTAAACTGTTTTCCATCGAGGCGCTAAATTTGGACCAGCATGCCTTTCTGCCCTTCCGCACGAAGTCAGTGGTAATTTGAGGAAGCCGTCGACATTGGCTGTCATCACGTAGTCCGACCTTGACTTTGGCGTCCTATGGCCATTACACCCGGTCTGTCCATCAGGCGATCCGCGAAGGAAACCGAATGCTTTCTTAACACTGGTGTGTCTAAAGTGTCACCACAGAAGCAAACCGCTGCACAACCCGCAGACAGCAATATGCACTTCTTGGTTCACCGCCAAATAGGCAGTCTTGATGGCTTCCATTCGCTGGTTGCCATAAGACCGACTTTTACTCGTTGGCTGTTGGCTGAACACAGTAGGGGGGGGGGGAGGTGAATAACAAAATGCGCCATCCCGCTACGCCTAACAGTTGGACAGAAGTGTTATGGCCTTTCTCATTGCCCGCCTGAAAACCTTTCGGTGGCGGGATCCAGTCGTGGCAGCCTAGCAGCGTTCCTATGTGACCAGACCTTTGGGCAGTGTTTGCTTATCTCTGTCGGTCTTGAGTTTCTTCGCCGGTAGAAGTTCGAACCTCTCAGACCCCACGTCAGACGCACAGTGTTCTACAGCACGGGCGAACTCCGCGCAACAGTCGTCAACAAAAAAGACCGACTAAATGCCCCGGTGGTAATGAATTGTAAGAACCTAGCCATTAAATCCACGTCTTACCGATCTACGTTGTCTCCGTAGCTGCGTTGGAGCTACTGCCGCGCAAGGAGGTCAATGCCGCTTTTTAACCGCCTTGCGCAATGAGCCCCTCGATTCGTCCTGCAACATCCATCCTCCTTTTCAAGAACGATGGCCTCCTCATCCAACTTTTTTGCTTAATAGAACATCTTTCTAAGAGCATCTGGTGGCAAACAGACGTGTGCCTCTCGACTCCGGCAGACAAACTATTCCACGGTTGAGAAAAACTACCTACGTGCATTCAGCCATCCGCGGGGGGTAGGTGTAGTCTGAAGGGGTGCCTACGTAGGTTTGCTACAGTGGCGGGTTGAGAGAAGTCGCCACGCACTGGGGGCCACAGCCAAACCCACGCACGGCACAAGAGGCTTATGTCAAGTCTCAACGCGGTTGCCAATGATTCAGGGTAAAGTGCTCCAGGTCATTTTGATCAATTGCATGTGACAGTGTTCTTCGAACATTTTTATAGTCCGCCTCTAGAGTCCTTTGAGTAGGCTAAAAGCTGACCACATCCATGGTCTCCAAGCCTGGATTCCACATCCAGTGTATGCTCTTACGAGTACACCAAAGACTGGCAACACAACCCCTCAAAGAGTTTAAGGGACCGTCTTAATCGGGGGGATAATTGGAATTTCGATTTTTCCCGCCTCACAGCAGCGCATTCATGGCATGAATGTGTTCTCGCCTTTTAATTTCCTCAGAAATTATCTACGAAGTGGGAGTAGATCAGTTTATTCAAGGTCTATAGACACAGACCGAGGATTTTATACATGAATATTTGGGTCAAAGTCCATCAGCCACAGCAGGTAACCGCGTAATATTCTGTAACCGCTGACAGGCAGCCAGTAGTATATTTTAGGGCAAGAGGATACCATACCAGCAGCACAGGCACTAGCCAAAAGCACATACACGCGTGTTTCGCCGATATTCTGTCGCTGCATGACACAGCTGCGAGCATTCCCTGTCTGCTTTCTGGTAGATACTGCGATTTTTAGAAATTGTAGGTTTTTAATTTCCTCAGAAATTATCTACGAAGTTGGAGTAGATCAGTTTTTTCAAGGTCTATAAGCACAGACCGAGAATTTTATACATCGCAGCTGCGCCATGCAGCGGCAAAACATCGGCTAAACACGCGTGTATGGGCTTTTGGCCAGTACCTGTGCTGTTAGTATGGTATCACCTTACCCTAAATGAATGCGTTCCCCATCAACAGGCCAATGTTACTCTAGGTTTGTGTGCGTTGAAGAGGCATCCCTTTCCGATAATACGTGCGTCCGCTGTGGTCTTGGATGTGATTATCAAACTGCTTGCATTGAATAACAGGAATATTCTCTTACTCGGCAGCACAGTAACTGACTTTTAAAAGTAACTGTCATCCGCCGATATGACAGCACTGCGGTTGAATTTTCGTACACACCCATTGCCAAGCATGAATAAGAGCATCAGCAGTAGTAGTGAAAATGCAATTCCCAGGGGGCATATCAAAAGAAAAGGAGGCGTTCACCGGGAGACGTGTATTGGGGGTCTGATCTTTCGAGTAGTTGTTTCGTCTACCCATCTTCAGAGACTAGGAAGTCATACCCACAGCTCTCCTTATATTCTTGGATGTTCTCGTCTGCCGCCGACCAGACGGTAAACTGGCGAACACACTGTAAATGTTCAATTACGACAGCAACCACCCACTGCAACACAAACGAAGCTGTGGACGCACTCTATACCGACGGGTGGAAACTCATTGCAGCACGCCAGCCGCCAAACTGGACGAGATGAAGCTCCTGCAAGAACTCTTCAGAGCCAACAGTTGTCCGCGAGCATTCGTTGAATGGAGCCGAAGACAACCAAGGAAGCGGAATGAAGAACATCGTCAGCCAAAATCGTGGCGGGGCATTCCGTGCATTAAAGGGGTCTTAAAAGTCGTGGCTAGATTCCTCGCGCCGCTCGGAATAGGCGTTGCCCACGGGCCCGACTCAACAGTCCGCCGGCAAGTGATGCGGCCAAAAGACCCGATCTCTAAGCAGGAGATGTCTGCCGTTGTCTACCGACTTCAGTGCAGCTGCGGGAAGTGCAACTACGTTGGGGAAACCGGCCGACGGCTACAAACGCGAATGCACGAGCATAAGTTGGCCGTGCGAAGGTTGGAACCAAAGTCGGAGGTAGCAACCCATGCCGCGCATGTGGGACACATCCTCAACTTTGAGGCCGACGAGATGGTGGGCCGGGACGATGATCATACGTAATGGCAAGTGCAAGAAGCCTAGATGTCCACCGACTGCTCTGTCAACCGCCACATCAATTTGCCTCCCCCTATCTGACTTTGAGAACCTTCTTAACAGGGGACAGACACGGCGCAAAACAGTCAGGACCGTCAACTATCTCCGCGGCTGATGAGGGCGGTATCGATTCAGGTCACGGTGACATGCGGGTCGGATACAGCCACACAGGCGCCATTGGCGGGCCACGCATCAAGCACAGTGCATCATAAAAGAAGAGTTGTGCGCATGACTTCCCAGTCTCCGAAGATGGGTAGTCGAAACGACTACCCGAAACTTCAGAACTCTAATACATCCCTCCCGATGAACGCCTCCTTTTGATAAGTAGGAACGCTAGTCTCAGAACTGAAACCTGTGAAATGTCACCTTCTGTTTTGCCGACCCCAATTTCGAACTTGCCTACACTAGGCGTCTGCTTGCAGTTCACAGCGCCAGTTTTACAGGATGCGACTTGCCAACTTAACCTGTCTGACAGTCTGCAATTCTGACCTCTAGAATTCGATGATATGCCCACCGACACAGACCAGATCGCCTCTAGAAGCGAAAGCTTTGGACAGGCCTGGCAGTGGTTCAAGGAGCGTCGGCGCATCACCTCCATCGAACTGAATGCCGCTGTAACCTACGTCAGTCTGCCTTGGAGCCTAATTATTTCAAGTAAGTCTTTTTGTAGTCCTCTCAGGGTCATCATTTCTCTTCCGATTTTCGCCTGCGCCTGGCTGTAAAGGTCTTCGAATCACTTCTCTTACGATCTATGCGTTTGCAGTGAGCATATTGTCAAAGGAAGTTACTGATCCCCCCCCCCCCCATCCTCTTAACTGCAAGAAACCTCCACTTGGTCGGGCATGTCGTAGGTTCAGTGTCTTTCCGACACCTTTATTTTAGCTATCAGCTGGTAGTGGGAGGGAAAAAATAATGTGCGAATTTCGAATGTGTTGACATTTTTTCCCAGCACGGTAACTATCGCGAGAGGGCACTCAAATATCCGTTGCCTAGAAATAATGCCTACTATATATATTTGAGTAGGTTACATCCCTACATGTTTGTCGTTTCGTCCGACCTCCGTTGCCTGAGGTATGCGAACAGGAGGTCCGGACTAGCAAGAGGGTCATTAGTCAAAAGCAAAATGTTCTTGCTTACCGGTATTCTCTGATATCACCGGCTGGAAGAAAACGAGGAGATAATGAGGAAGTTATAAAGAGAGATGCTACCCATCCTCTTCATGGATGAGGAATATTTACTTTTTTAACAGGTGACAGGCACACCACTGAGTGCAGTGTATGGAATGTGCTCAAAGGTGTCAAAAACATCAACGAAATTAAACACGCATCCCGACTAGTGACAGTTGGTTCCGTAGCCTGTTTTCTAACAGTGGCCAAGGGTACCTGCAACAGATGCTGTGGTCTCATGTCGACTTTTGTGTCGAGCGGAATTTCCTGGACCGGTCGAAAATGACGTTTATGCAGACTCCTTACCCATCATCACACAGCAAGGCTAATGTTTAAAGTATTCATCAAGTTATTTTGACTGTCAGCCAGGTGGAGGAAGATGTAGCTTCACAATTCCCTGTGTCTGACCTCTCAGAACTACCAAATTTGGACTTACAGTGCATGACCGATCTCATGAAACGTTAGCCGAAATTCTGAGATGCTTTTTCGACTGGGAAGGATTACTTAGGTGGGGTTGTAGTATTGATTATCGTGGGGTATAATCCTATGATGTTCGAGACTAGCCATGATGTTGGCTTTCAAGTGTGTTTCTTTGCGACCTCCTGTGCGCCGAGAGCGTCTCTTGTATGGAAGATTTGTATCGGGGGACGCGTCTTAAAAGGATTTTCTTTTTACCACACTTCCACCAATTCATCTTTGCTATAACTGCTTACAGGGCACTCATCAAAGAAGGTCAAACAACACTGCGGTCAGGTCGTGCGCAATCACAGTTGTGCGAGCAGTCAGCTCTTTTCTGCCGCGTCTTTTGCGCTGACTGTCTCCGGAATTACGCATCAACCAGAAGCCAGGTTGCGCGAACACAAAATGGAGGTTTGGTGGAGGGCCCTTATCTCGTGTGGTTGTTCACATTTCAAGACACCATACCTCCTACACGGCTGTCATGTCGATCCTCCAAGGAGCCGGGCGCAAGAAAAAGTGATCTAGTCGAGGATTGATCAGCGGTGTCGAACTCCACTCCTACTGTCAGGCCCTCTGCGGACTGGCAATCGCCACCAAGGTCGCTGTAATCAGTTGCAGAGACTCAGGGCAGGGCTGATTAGCCGGTTACCTCACTTTACTGCTCGTTATGGTGCTTTCCGTATATCCCTGACGATGGACTCGATGACTAGTCAGGATTGGACACTGGAATAAGACAACAGATTGCTTTGTTTAAATGAGAGGAGGGGACCTGTTCCCGTGCCCTAATCGAAACCATCACAACCCTGGAATGTAGCGCAGGGCCACCGGTAGTACGGAGGTTAATATTTCCGTCCTCCACCCCAGTCAGAAACAGCACAGTAATAAACTATTCACTTCAGTTCTCGCGGCTCCCTAATTTCCTTTTAACTATTGGAAAGATCCAATCCTTAAGATGAAGCAGGTATTCTTCTCGCACAGCGTACTGCTTCTCCTGAACGTGCGTCGATAAAAAACCAAGGTGGTTATTTTGGTCCCTGTGTCACCGCTAAGCAACCGAACTGTGAGGAAGCCGCCGTGACAGCCTGAAATGCAGTGGCCGTTTACTTGAACTACAACATTTTAGCCATCGGGTTCCGGTGTGAACAGCGTTTGGCAATAATATAAGTTACCAACAGAGGCACAGACTTTTCACTGTTTTATCTCTCTTCCTATTCAAAAACTTGTAGCACATACACTTTAAACAGAAATAGATAGAAGGTAAAATGTCTCGCAAAGGAGAAGCTTCACACAAACCGAAGATACGCGCGATAATCGACGTACTCACCCCAAGCCTCGGTCGCGCGATCAAGCCCGAAGCGGAGTATTTGCTCCTGGTGTAAAGTAGCGACATGTTCTCGGCCATAGAGGCAGAGGGATTACGGGTCTCGAGAGTCAGGCTGTAGAATTTAGAAACCTTACCCTGAATATTCAGTGGGTGACCGATATCATGAAATGTTAGCCGAAATTCTAAGATGGCTTTTCGACTGGGAAGGATTACTTCGGTGGGGTTGTAGTATGGATTATCGTGGAGCATAATCCTATAATGTTTGAGACTGACCATGATGTTGGCCCTCAAGTGCACTCGATAAAAATGACCGTCTAAGCATTATGCATCTTCAACATTGGGTGTCTTGAAATGCGAACAACCACACGAGATAAGGGCCCTCCACCAAACCTCCATTTTGTGTTCGCGCAACCTGGCTTCTGGTTGATGCGTAATTCCGGAGACAGTCAGCGCAAAAGACGCGGCAGAAAAGAGCTGACTGCTCGCACAACTGTGATTTCGCACGACCTGACCGCAGTGTTGTTTGACCTTCTTTGATGAGTGCCCTGTAAGCAGTTATAGCACAGATGAGTTGGAGGAAGTGTGGTAAGTAGACAATCGTTTCAAAACGCGCCCCCTACATACAAGACACGCTCACGCCGCGCAGGCGTTTTACCCACTCGTGTCGGCATCTGAGACTAACTTGTGGCCTTAGTTCTTCCCTTTGAGAAAGTAATGTTTTATAATGGCTTTTTCTAATTACCTCCTCGCTTTAGGCATCTTCGACTCGAAAAGAGTGCCAGTTCTCACGTCGCACTTCATTGGGACCCAGAAGGAGCCTGCCTGAATACGGGGTCCCTGTCGTTCATCCTATCTGCTGTACTGTCTCATGCTTTCCTGTTGACGCACATGCAGTTGTTTATGTCGTTGGCTTTGATCCAACGTACGCACCTTCTTCCAACCCAACAAGCAAAGTTGCTCAGTGGCTTCTTGGACTGCGAATTTGCCCGTTTATGGCTTCCACGCTGTTTTTAATGATTTATTGGGTGTCAGCTTCTCATTGTTACTTTTCTCCTGTTTTCCCCGTTGTTTTTTTTTCTAAATTTGCTTTCCTCGCGTCCGTCTGTAATTTGCTGCTTAATGCTCCCTCTCAAATTTATTCCTCTCTCCGCTTGCCCCCATTTAGGCAATCTGTTCATGGCGCAGTTTTGAGCCTGATTATATATAATACTGCTGGCCTTCGGTGCATATTTAAATCGCCGAAACTTCTCTGACGATGTTCACGTAGCGTTCTACATGGAGCTCTCTCTCTGTGGTTGGTTTCCCACTAAGATTTATTCGCCGTTGCTAACATTCGATTTACCAAGCTCGCCTTATGGTGGCCTTACAGTACGTCCCCGAAACTGACCAAAAGAAGTTAAACACAGTAAGTGGGATAACTCATGAGATCTCAGTAGACATTCCGAAATGCGTTTTCGTTTCGAAAAGATTAATTAAGTAGGATTGTAAAACCAATCATCGTGAAGCATAATTCTATAAAAATTAAGTTGCCCTAAGACGCCGGCTTTCGAACGATCTTCTTTCGGGCTGCATGAAAAAACGATACTCTGTAAAAAGTGACTACATAAGTAGCGTGCATTTATTCATTGATTTTCGATGCCCTCCAAAATTCAATTATTTTTCACGGTAAGTATACTTAAAAATATTCATTCTTTTGCTCATTTGATAGGAAATTACGTCTTCTTTCAACTTTATACTCAAAGGAAGAGTATAATTTGGTTTTATAAAACTTTTCCAATTCCCGAATAATTTTGAACCCGACCTGCCGTTACACTTGCACTCAGGGTCCCCAAACTACAATCCGCATATTTTGTGCGTATGGAAAACCATACATTTCTCTACGGTATTAGGAGACCATATGGGGTTCGTAGAATTAAGCAGTGGATCTGAGCCACATTGTTAACTTTACAAGCGACATTGGTAAATGCATATGCATGGCGTTTTATGAACGGCCATTTCATGGTATTAAAAAATCTCACAATTAGAAACCTTGTGAAACCGAATTACACTCCTCCTTGGAGTATAAAATTAAAAGAAGACGTTATTTCCTACCGAATAAGCAAAATAATGAATATTTGAATGTATTTTTTTATGAAGTATGATTAAACTCTTAAAGGAATCGAAAACCAATGAGAAATTTGCATGCTACTTAAGTAGTCCTTTTTTGCAGAGTATAGTTCATGCATACAGCCGGGAATAAGTTCATTCGAAGGCCGACACCCTGAGGTAACAGGATCATTATAGAATTATGTTGGAGTGTGATTAGTTTTACAAACATAATTAATCTTTTCGAAACGAGAACGCATTTCGGAATTTCTGTTGTCATTTCATGAGTTAGCCCATCTACTGTATCTTCAAGCGCAAATGGATGTCTAACTGGGTGTTTAACTGAGATCAGTTTAGGACATTATTTCAAGAGGATTCACGGACAGCAGTTTTCTGGCTTTCGATGAAGAACCTCTGCATCTCCTTTTGCCGGCCACCCCCATTTACCTTTTTGGTACTTAAATATCATCAAAGAAATGCCCGAAATTCCCCTAATTTTCGCTTAAATCCGGCACTAATGGAGGAAGGGGCTCAGTTAAAAAAATTCTTAGGATTTTCGAGTAAATTCACGTGAAATCTTAAGTTCACAGTTTTCAAATACTGTTTACAAAGTTGCCTGCATGTCACTGTATTCCGATACGGTATGAGTTAGGAGGTCTTGCAGTTAAGATATTTAATATGAAGATGTATTACTGAAATGACCGGTTTTGGGCTTGTCTGCCGTCATCCACCAGCCATATTCGGGACAGAATAGGAGTTTGAGTCTACAGTAGGTACAGTACCTGTGCTAACTCATGAAATGTCACGAATTAACACAGGTTAACGACTTTAACGCAAAATCGGTAAACACTACGGCTCCCAAAGTCTGATAGCGGAAAATAAACGATGTGTCAAAGAAATAAAGCAAAGTTTGGTTAAGAAAATATTATTTACTGAGATAAAAATAAATAATTTTCGACAAAAGTCACATTTTCGAGAAACGCCTATATTACAACCAAGTTAATAAAGGCTACGTATGAGGACGTATAAAGGAGGAGGGCGCATAAAAGGTCAAAAATAATTAAGGACAGAAACAGATACAAAAAATTAGTAGTTTGTAGATTGTCCATTCGAATTAATAACAGCAGAAAGTCTGTCCGACATAGACATGACAAGGTTATCTATGGTGGATTGTAAAATGTAATTATTGAGTATGAAATCCAATTTTTCCTGCATTGAAAGAGTCTTCTTAGCTTTGTGCCAATTTCTTTTGACTATTCCAAAAAGATTTTCGATAGGATTCAAATCGGGACTGTTGGCCGGGATGAAAATGGATTGGAGGCCAATTGCGGAGAGCGTGGTTGTTGTCTAAAATGTTAGATTATATTTGCAAGCGGCATCAAATTCGTACCTCTTTAGAGCGGTGGACAGGTGCATTGTCCTGCAAAATTACAGTATCCATTCGGCGCCGATTTATGCCGTTGTAGCCGAAAGCATCCTTGACAATTGCAATGAACACCTTGCTGCTGATGGTGTCGGATGTTGACCGCCAGACAGGCCGCTCACCGAATTTAATCGCCATCCAAACCATCATCCGCCGACAGTTCTTGAATGTTGCCGTCGGTGTAGTGTGTTCTCTTGGGAAGTTCTTTCCACATATGACGGTTTGGAGCGATTTCGTAGGCTTCGTATGTTAATTCACGAAATGGTAGCCGAAGTCCTGATATGCGTTTTCCACTCGAAAAGGTTACTTAAGAAGGGTTTTAATATTAATTACTGTGCAGCATAATCTTAAGACATTTTAGTTACTTCGGGATGCCGGTTTTTGAACTAATTTCTTTTCGGCCGCCTGCAAAAACTACATTCTGCAAAAAATGACTAATTTAGTATGGATTTTTCTTGTTGATTTTCGACACCCTTATACATTCAGATATACTTCGTAGAAAACATGAATAAAAATACTCATTCTTTTCTCATTTGGTAGAAAATTACGTCTTTTTCAAATTCCATACTTGAAGAAAGGGTATAATTCGTTCTTATAAAAGTTTCCAGTCATGAGACTAAGCCCGTGAAATGGCCGTTCATAAATTATCATGTCTGTTCATTTACTAATGTTGCTTATCGAGTTTACAACATAGCTCAAATCCACTGCCAAATTTCATGAACTCCATATGGTCTCCTCTTAACCCTGTCCTGCTCTATAGTGATGTCTAAAATTCCAATAGAGAAAACCCTAGAAACTGAAAGAGGAGAGGCAGATTTCGCAATTAGAATCAGCCAATGCCCATGTATATGAGGCTATGGACACTTGACTGGACAGCTTCCCAGTCGACGCCTGAAATCAGCACAAGGATGGTGTTCGGACCGATCATTCGTTGGAATCGGTACAATTTTAGCTCCGTTGCCTGTGAAAGTATTATTTAGAAGCGCCATCGATCATTTAACAGTAAGCTGAAATAGGGTAACAGAATCGGCAATCAGATCTCGGTCAGGGAAAAGGAAAATGGGCAAGAAAGTGAGAAAAATGTGCTGATCAGATTTCCCTGTTTTGAAATTTGAGTGGAAGCGGCAAAATTTTAGTTATAGTTTGTTAGTTCCTTCATCCCGTATTTAAAAATAATTCTCGGAACATATTCGCATTCATTGATAAACCTCTGTGATTTTTTTCATTATGAGTGTTTAATGCGACTGTTGGAAGTCGAGAGTGCTGCGACGTATCGTTTGATGCCGCGCTCTCGAGTACGGGGAGGTTTAAACGGGGTATGAGGGCTTAATTATGGGCACTGGAGAAATAACGGCATAAGCAAACTTTTTCATTAGAAGTAGCTGCAGCTTGGGCCTTTGGAAATCTGAATGTTTCATGACACTGCAGTGAGTAGGAGAAAGACAAAAAGATGCGAAGATTTTTGTTTGACCAGTTGTTTAAAACTAAAAACGGATAAACGACGACATTATTCTATGGCAAACTGTTTCTATGGATAACAACCACTAATGTATTTGACATTTCTATGAAGTATACTATTGCAAAACGTCTCTGTATATTTACTTACTCTAAATGAATTAGAGAGAGCGGAGGAATCTGTTCGGAAGCCACTAGACACTAAAACCGAGGTTTTAAAAATTCGTCTGAGCTTCAAGGTGGAAGACAATACTTTTTCCCTCTTAAATCGACTGATATTCTAATCCTCTACCTGTGAAACAGAAGGATCTTCTAGGTGGTAGTGTATCGAACTGAAAAAATTCGAGTGTGGTTATCTTTTGCTGTTATGGCTGTTTTTGATTACTTTGCTACTTTTACTCTGAGCCGTCTGAGATCATGCAAACTCCCAGTTTACCCATGCCTTGATAATGCAAAAGTTGAAAACGAAATATAAGCCCGTGCTGAGGCTCACGGGTCCAGGGTGGTTCGAAATCGTATTCGCAATATTTCCTCGTCTAAGTATTGCCGGATTTCTCTCGCTTTGGTAGTGACTCTGCCAGGGGTTTTTAAAGTTTTTTGGCTTTTTCCTATCGTCTGATGGCGTGATTTCATGAGAATTCGACCGTCGTTTCCGGCAATGTCCACCGTATACTCCACAGCAAGGTAAGAGCAAGGACGGCGACTTTTGCGTGAATTAGTTTGTAGTGATAGTAGACTTGCAGAGCATCTACCGCACTCTCTCCTACCCCACTAGGATCCAGTGTCAGGACGGAGTCAAGAAGACCGAGGGCGGGGGGGGGGGGCGCAGGTGGATGGCACGGTCGAGCCCACAGCTTGGCGTT